GGGGTTTTTTCAATTGATACCTTGCAACTGTTTATCTGGTGTGGCATACCCCAGGAATTTAATGCATTTTTGTGATTTAATCAATATGTCCCAAATAATCATATTTGATGCGATGGAGCAGACTGCTTCTTCAATATTGTCTTCTCTCCAGCAGTCTAATATTTTTGGGAGGAAACTAAATTTGTCTGAAAAATAAAGTTAGTGTTTTCTCTTAAAGTAGTCATAGCAGCATTCAATTCTCATAGGCACTTTTTATTCGAAGTTACTTTAGAATAACTTGTAAGAAAACTACATTGAGTTTTTTTTCAATTAAATATCCTGAAATACTTCTGAATCTCAAGAAATAAGGTTCATGAAGTTTACAGTTCATCTGAGCTTACACCTATTTATTAAGATGCAAAGTAAAATTGTTTGGCTTGTGTTCTTTCTTAATACTTTTATTTCATATTCTGTGTTGGTAACAAGGTTATAGATAACTTATGTTTGAAAGCCGCTTCTGCCGTTAAGCTTTATCTGTTCTTAACTTCCAGAGGCACTGTTCAGCTCTGATAAGACCTTCCCATTCTCGGAGGAGACAGTTTCAGCTACTCCTTAGCTCTGAATGTTTAGCTGTGTTTGTTTTGAGGGCAGCAATGAAAACTCCTCCCTGTTAGCAAACAGGAATGGAGGGGACAGCGCGGGGGGGGGAGATGCGAGGAGAGTGACACTTGTGGCTTTGTTGAACTGAGGAATCCTTCACTGGTGTAAAAAGCTCTTTTTACATCTGCTTAATCTGCCTACAGCAGGATGATATGACAAGTGGCTGAAAGGTCTGATCAAACATTTAAAAAATTTAACTGCATTTTCATGTGTGTTGTTGAAGGACAAGAAATGTTCCGTATTTGGAATTTTTTCTTCAGTTTCATTCACTACAAATGGCCAGCATAGCTTGTAAAAGTTAGGTACTTTTGACATATCTTTAAAAAAACAATGTTTAAAAGCATGATCCTCCAAAAGGAGAGTCCTTGGCTTCTCAATTGTTTGAATCATTAGTATGCAAACCCTTGACTTGCTGCATTAAATATTAAAACTGTTATGTGTTTTGCTAAGTGGTTAACTTGCATATACATGGTGAGTCAATGGTTCAAGAGTCATGCCATGAGTCATACAATTCATCCTGTTTTTTCACCAATGATGCCAATATGAATACAGTGGGTAGTGTTAGATCTCTAAGGATATATTCTATGTCTTTTCAAACTTGGAATCACAGAATAAGCTGAGTTGGAAAGGACCGACAAGGATCGACTCCAGCTCCCCACCCTGCACATCACCATACCCAAAAGTCACACCATGTGCCTGAGAACATTGTCCAAACAATTCGTGAACTCTGTCAGGCTGGTGCTGTGACCACTTCCCTGGGGAGCTGTTCCGGTGTCCAACCACCTTCTGATAACGCCTTTCCCTGATACCCAATCTAAACCTCCCCTGACACAGCTTCAGGCCATTCCCTTGGGTCCTGTCACTGCTCACCACAGAGCAGGGATTAGTGCCTGCCCCTCCTCTTCCCCTCATGAGGAAGCTGTAACTGCAGTGATGTCTCTCTCCAGTCTCCTCCAGGCTGAACAGACCAAGTGACCTCAGCTTCTCCTCATAGAGCTTCCCCTCAAAGCATCTTTGTTGCCCTCCTTTGGATGCTCTCTAATAGTTTTCTGTCTGTCTTTCCTTGTGGCACCCAAAGCTGTCCCAGTGCAGAGCAGGACAGTCCCCTCCCTTGCCTGGCTGGCCATGCTGTGCCTGATGCCTCCAGGACAGGGCTGGCCCTCCTGGCTGCCAGGGCACTGCTGACTATCCAACTTTTCATGGACCAGGACCCCCAGATCCCTTTCCATGGCACTGCTCTCCAGCATCTCATTCCCCAGTCTGTACCTGCATCCTGAGTTGTTGCATCCCAGGAGCAGAATCCAGCACTGTCCCTTGTTGAAATACATGTGGTTGGTGGTTGCTCAGTCCTTTGATTTGCTGAGGTCTCTCTCCCTGCTTTCAAGAGAGTCAGCAGCTCTTCCCAGTGCTGTATCATCTGCAGTAGACAATTTCAAGTCCCTAAGCAGAACCCTTTTTGCCCTGAAGTACATGAACAATCCAGGCTACACACATTACTTGTTTTGCTCTATGCCAACCAGTGCCCAAATTAACTTTAAGAGGTTTAGCTGTTGTTCTCTTTTCCTGCATTCTTTTTAAAGCAGAAAACGACTAGAGAGAACAGTGTGTCCTTCTGGAGCATTTCCCAATCCTCAAAAATTAACTTTGGTTATCCAGGAAACTGGATGCTGATATGGCATAGTGAAGAGAGCATAGTAAATAAAGCACATAGCAAACTTATATAGGTACACCTTCACCTAATTACTTTAATGGAAGAATTTTATTACAACGAAGAATTTTGTAGTGAAAACTACAGTCCACTATCATGAATAGGAGTTAATGAAATGTCTTGCTTTCTAGGTACTTCTCATACTGTATGCAAGACTATTCTACATTGAGCTTTGATTCTCAAACACAGAACAAAGTATAAGTAGGTCCTGGAATGATCGAAAAACAACTGATGGGGGGCAGGGAGTAGGGCAGGAGATGGAAGAAAACACTGGTTTATTTAGCTTGATGAAGTAGACTAGAAGATGAATAGGACCACAAGGAAGGAACATGAGGAAATCTTGATAGAAAAGGAAATAACATAAGCAGACTATGAATTGAACCATGTTATAAGGAAGAATAACCTTCTAATGTTAGTACTAATGTTTCAAAGCAGTGCTTTTGAGCCTGGCAGTGACAAAATGCTGTCTGTTTGTAAGATGTATCTCAATTCCTGAATTAAGTTGAAGGTAGTTGCTAGTAAGCTTAGACATATGTGTCTTTAAGTAGCTCTTTCGATCAAGAAGCATGTAGTCTTGTCCGCTGCAAAGCAAGAATAAAGCATGTTGGCCTAAACCACGGGCATTATATAGAAGGCCAGGTGCTGCATCTGAAAGGTTGAAGTATCTTAATATAATCATTTGAAACCTAGCTCAGTGATGAGTGGATAAACTTGAGACAGTGTTTCATGGTTTACTTGCAGAACTTAGTATGAACTGTCTACTAAGTACAGACTGTATACTTAAAATAAGCTCTGAGTTTGAGAGCTTGGGTTCTTTTCCTTTAATTTTCATGTGGCTAGTTTGACCTTCTTTGATATGCTGTTTTTGATGTTTGTCATTGCATACCAATGGTCTGCCATTATTCAGGCTTTTGTTCGCAAAACAAATGGAATGTGACAGTGTGCAACAGGTTCAGCATGCCAAGAAGCTATTATATTGTATACACTTGGATAGTTATTCATGTTTCTCTCAAGTAAGAAAAATAAGGCATTGCCATGGCATATGGAAAGGTCAATCTCTGAGTTAAAAAGCTGATAAGCAAGTCACAGATGCAAGATGATAAGTATGCATTTGAGAGGCTGAAGACACGATGGCAGTGCCCATAAAACTACATTTCCATTATGTGAAATAACAACTATATAATGATGTCAGGGATTTGAGATTTTTTTTTCTAAAGAATCTCCTTGAATTACCACACATTTATGGCCTATTGTAAGTTACTTACTGCCTCATGTGGAAGGGTGTATCTTAAAGAAGCAATAAGGCTAATGGGTCCTTACATTACTGCTTTTCAGGATTATGTTCATAAGGTGCTGGTATGAACAGTGTAAATTTGCAATGAAGTGTCAAAGCAAATAAAAGGATAAAACTACACTATCACAGGTTCAAGTGGAACACTGTTAAAGTTTTATATATAGCTATTTAACTCTGAGAATGCACAAGCCAATAATACAATTTGCAACAATATCCATGATCTGTTTTAAGAGAACAGTAGAAAAATAACGGAAATAAATTGAGTGCTAGTAATTACGGATTATTCAGTAATAAAGCTGGATGTCACAAGTATTCCTTTTTCCTTGCCTTGCAGTTGCATGGGGTAGAGTGAACCATCGCTGCTCAAGAGCCAGTCATGCATGACTGTGGGCTCTGTACTCAGGACAGTGGCGAGTATCTGGCCAAACTCCTTGTAGTAGGGACAGGTAGATGGGGAGCTGCTGGACTTGTGGTTGTCTTCCTTTGCACTGTGGTAGGCTCTAGAAGTTTTTAATATGCTCTTACTACATGGGACATCCATTTAATCTCTCCACCAGCTGTTTTAAGATGCTTTCATACCAATGATGATTTTGAGTTGTTCTCAAAATCACATTATTTGCTCTAGTTACATCAAAATTACTGTTGTAGTCCTTTAGCCAGCTTGTTGCACCAGAGCAGCATGTTCTAGAGCTTTCTGACTAAAGACTTTCTGGCTGTACACCTCCTGCCAAAGCGGAGATGCCATTTGAAGTCAATGTGTTGACAGATGAGCAACTCCAGAAGCTTTGGAGGGGAATAGAAAGTCCCGGGTAAAGAAATTGTCGGGTGCTATTGGGATGTTATTAAACTGTAGTCCTGCTACACTGTCTTTATCTTCACTGCCAGACACAAGAGTTAGAGCTTTCTGAGAAGCCTGAGATTTGCTTCTAGTCTTCATCTAGGAAAGCAAACCAGGTTCACAGGATTCATTAATCTGAGTGTAAAGAATGTTTGAGAGGACCTTGGGCTGAAGAGTTTGGGTTAAGGCATGTAACTCTGATTGACTTTTCATTTAGCATCCTGATACTGGAAACTTTATGCACTCCTATATCAGTTCTTTATTCATCCTAGATCAGTGAGATATCTGACTGCTAGTGCCCGTAGTGTTTATTTTGTAATCTTGCTGTGTTTACTCATATGTCTAAAATCATCTACATGTGCACTGTCCTTGCAGAAACAAAAACATCTTTTGGCCCTTCTCGTTTGTTTGTTGTCATTGCGCATTTTCCCTTCATTACTCTCCTCCAGTTTTTTCTTTCCTACCTTTTTACTTTTCTTCAACTGTCAGTGGAATTATTGTCTTCCTGTCTCCATATTCAGGTAGTGTCAGTGGCTGAGTATCACCGCAGGATCGATGCTCTAAATAGCGAAGAACTGCGCACACTCTGCAGACGTCTCCAGGTGCCCTCTTCAGTAGTTTAAACCCCATCTCCAGATACTAAAACATCTTCCTTTGTAGTGTCTTGGATCTGGGCAAGTCCTGCACTTAGTGGGTTTGTCTTGTCTTCAGCACTACAAGGATCCAACAGAAAATTCCTTTGTTTTGGATGTATTTAATTGTGCAATTCTATGATGGCATCAGTAATTTTATGATGGAATTACTACTTCCACCTTTTTCACACAGGAATTTTCTGTTAGAATTTGAAAATTTGTTCTCAGTACTGCTTGACTTGCAGTGTTGTGTTTTAACTTCTACTTTAGACTGGTGTGTTGTGTTAGAAGCTTCCCTAAAAAGAATGCAAAACAGGTGAAGAATCCAAAACCTTGTTGCATGGGTGTTTAATTTTATATAGGAATCTTTCATCAAGAATCTTACAGTACATGGCAAGTATGATGCTTCACAACTTCTCTGAAATAGGTAAGTATTTTTTGCATTATAAAAGCAGGTAATTGAGGCCGTTCAACATGGCAAATGTCATACACATACACACGAAACAGTACTTTGAGATCAGTACTTTGGATTTTTGAAGGTCTGTGGATATGGATTGAAACTGATATTTGCATTCTCTTTAGGTGCTCCATAGTGTTTTGAGACTTACAGAATGGTTAGCTGCTGTGCACATCATACACGCCTTACTGGTGGAAAGCATAGCTTAGATTTCCTTAGAAACATTGAGTATTTTGTTTTTCTCTAGTACTTGGCTACTGAAAATTTTAAATTTTTTTCTGGGTGTTTTTTTTTTTATTTGCTCTTGGCTTTTAAATATAATTACACATAAGCAAACATTTTCTTAGCTCTGCTATTTCTGTTTGTTTAATAATCAGTAATTAATCACTTTAAAATGTTGTGTAAGTAGTATAATTACATAGATCAATAATGAGCATGAACCTTGAACCCAAAAGCTGCACTATTAGAGGAAAGTCAGAAATCTTGCCCCCCCCCCAAAAAAAAACCCAAAACTATTCCTGCTTGAGAACAGAACTATTCTGTTTTTGGCAAGTGGTGGTGGAGAATCCCTGTATTAATATTCTGAAAGTGTAGGAGCTCTTTCCAAATACCTTTCACCTGATATGCTCAAACTCCAGGTTTAGGCTGACTAGAAAAGTCCGATGTGATAGGCTGCAGCCTATAAACTCTGCTCTGAGGCCATTTGACAGTTGTGGTCTCAAATGTGGTGTTGACTGTGTGACATTTACCAATCATGGAAGCCCCTGGAATCTGACTATCAGTCCATCTGCTCTGCCCAACTTTGGTGGGAAATATGAAAATTTTCAAGCTAGAGTGCTTTCTCTCAGATTCTTTTGAACAGATACTCTTTGACTGCTTCTTCCTAGAAGAAAACTGCTTTACGTTAATAATAAGAAAGGAAAGAAATCCATCCAAAAAAATACCCCAATCCCCAAAAACTCTAAACCAAGAAACTCGGTTCCCCACACCACTTGAATCCAAGTTATTCAGACCACAGATATATATATCAAGACCATCATGTTTTGCATGGTAGTCTTTAATCAGGAATTAAAGAATAACAAGGGAAAAAACTTTCTACTCTACAGTTGGACAATGTCGAACTTCTCTGGACCTGAAACAGTAATGTGATGTATGCAAAGCATTTAAGGTGGAAAATACTTGGACTATGAAATAACATTTTAGAGAGAGCACTCTGTAAAGCAACCTGCAGGTCATCTTTTTGTATGTGAAATAAAAAATTATCTATGTGGATAATTGCATTTTTTTGTTGTGATATGGAAGTTAGTCTATGTTGGAAGTTCTTGTTACCTTCCACTGAAAAAAGGAAAGCTTCAGCTTTTTTCTTGCTTGATACTCAATTTAAGCATACATTTTCTTGGATTTAGAATTAATTCTGTAATTGAGTTACTGTATGAATATATTTTGATATATTGACTTTATAAGCCTGTTTTTAAATAACAAGATTTTGTGATAGGAACTTTTTTCATAGTTCTTGAGGGAGATGAAAGATGTCTTTTGTTTGTTTGTTTTGCTCAGGTGGCTGTATTTTTTTTAAATATTCTTATCTGTATTTCAGAATTTTCTTTGATTTGGCTTTTTTTTAATTAACTAAGGAAGTTCACAAAAGCTTGGCAAAGTTTACTGTGGTGATATTGTGAAATATTGCAGTTGTATCCTGTATGTTTAAAGTATGAGGAATGTGGCAAACTGGATTTGGTGGGTATTTTCTTGAAATTTTCAGGTTTCAGGTTTTCATTTGGACTGTCTGGCTTTTAGTGAAACTTGGTTTAGGCTGATACATTTTTCAGATGCACTTAAACTTGTTAAGATTTCTTTTTTCTCTCAACATTTTAGTACGTCTTGCTGCAGTGGCTTATCTTACTACCTCACTTTTCCTACTGCTCTGTCAGATTTCACTGTTCCTAGTGAGTTTTAAATATCCCTGCAGCTGGATTTGTAGATGGAAATATGTTTGGAAACCAGCTATTCTAGTTATCAAGGCACGGCATTTTAACTTAGAAGTGCCAGTGAGTGTTGACTGGGTAAGAAGCTGTTGTGAGCTACATCTGATAAGGAATTTTGTGACCTCTGCCATCTCCACTCAATAGGGTAGATACGTAGGTCAGGTATTTTAAATTACTGCAGGACCTTTCTGCATAGTGCATCTTTCCCAGACCTCAGTGCTCACTATGCAACTTCAGTATTATTGCTGCTTTCCCACCCCACCTTCTCAATTCTTTCTTTGATTCCTGTGAGTACTCCAGCAGATCAGCTTATGGAGCAGCACTGTTTCTAAGGCTTTATTCAAATGGCTTACTCAAAATTTATGGCAGCAGTCTTCCCAGATGTCTACTGCATATCTGAAAAATTTCTTAAGTACTCTAAAAGAGTATTGATTCATAAGGTATTGAGAAATGTCGTTGTTGAAATTTTAACTCCTTTCCTTTCTGATTTTTTTAAAATTGCACTTAGAATTCTATATTGCTATTAAAATACAATAACTTTTTAAGGTATCTTCTGAAAAGCATTTGAAGCCCTGCAGCTGTGTATGAGAACTGCATACACAGTTGTTTTAGCATAAAACCATAGCTTGCTACTGACTAGATGGTTCTGTAAGTTATTGTTACATAGTTGTGTACCAGTTTGCTATCAGAAACAGTGAAAATCTTGGTCAGATCAAATCTATTTGATTTCTAAACTTCCAAAGGATTTGCATAATTGATAACTGCATGATTTTAAACCTGTGACGTTTTAGCTTGCCTGCTAATAGGATGGCATATACTTATTTTCTTGCTATTCTTTTCATAGATAACAACAAGAGAAGATACCAATTCAAAACAGGCAACAAATATCAAAACAGACCTGGAGCCTGAAGCATTCCGGCCAAATCTTAGTGATCCAAGTGAATTACTACAGCCAGAACAAATTGAAAAGGTATGGACTTGGATATATCATTTTTTTTCTTCTTACGCATTAATTTAACACAAATACTATGACTGTAGTGTAAAACACACCAGTAAAAAGATCTTTTGTGATATTAAACAGAAGAAAATAAACTATATATATTAGAAAAGATGGCTAAGTCTAGCTGTTACCTCAGCACTGCCAAGTACATCACTAAACCCTTTCCCTAAGTGCCGTATCTTATGCCTCCTTGAAATATTTCAACAGGGATGGTAACTCAGCCACTTCCCTGGGTACCCTGTTCCAATGCTTGACAGCTCTTTCACTGAAGAAATTGTTGCTAAGATCCAATCCAGACCTACAGTGGCTCAACTTGAGGATATTTTCTCTTGTCCTATTTTGGGAGAAAAGACTGACTGACTGTTGCAATTTACTTTCAGGTAGTTTTAGAGAGTGATGAGGTCCTTCTGAGCCTCCTTTTCCCTAGACTTGATCCAGCTCCCTCAGTCTTCTCCAGACCCATCATCAGCCCTTCTTTGGACACATGCCAGCATCTCAATGTTTCTTTTAGTGAGGAGCCCAGAACAGCACATGATATTCAAGATGTGGCCTCACCAGTGCTCAGTACAGGGGAACAAGTCATGATTCCATTCTTGGCCACCTGGGCACACACACTTTGACGTGCAGCTGTCTGTCAAGCAGCACCCTTAGGTCCTTTTCCTCTTTCTAGCTGCTGTTTCTCCAGCCTGTAGTGCTACAGGGGCTTTTTGTGACACAAGTGCAGGACCTGGCACTTAGCCTTATTGAACCTTGTATTGTTGGCCATGGCCCATCAATCCAGCTTGTCCAGATCCCTGTGCAGAGCCTACATACCCTCCAGCTGATCAACACTTTTGCCCAGCTTGTTGTAATCTGCAAACAGACTGAGAATGCACTTCATCCCCTCATCCAGTTAATTAGTAAAAACATTAAACAGGACTGGCCCCAGTACTGAGCCCCGGGGAACACCACAAGTGACTGGCCACAAAGTGGATTTAACTCCATTTACCATCGTTCTCTGGGCCTTATCATCCAGCCAGTTTTTTTACCCAGCAAACAGTGCACCTGTCCAAGCCATGAGCAGCCAGTTTCTCCAGGAGAGTGCTGTGGGAAGTGGTGTCAAAGGCTTTACTGAAGTCCAGGTGGACAATAGTCACAGCCTTTCCCTCATCCACTGAGCAGGTCACCTTGTCATAGAGAAAACCAGGTTTGCCAAGCAGGATCTGCCTCTCATGAACCCACCCTGCCTGGGCCTGATACCCTGGTTTTCCTGCATGTGCTATGAGATGGCACTCAAGGTGACCTGTTTCATGACCTTCCCAGGCACTGAGGTCTGACAGGCCTGTAGTTCCTGGGATCCTTCCTACAGGCCATCTTGTAAATGGACACTACCATGTGCTAACCAGGACATCCCCAGTTATCCTGGAATACTGGTGAACGGTGGGAAGTGGCTCAGTGAGCATATCTGCCAGCTCTATCTGCTTCCTTGCGTGGATCCCATCTGGCATCATAGACATGTGTCTGTCTAAATGTTGAAGCAGAGCACATTTCATAGATTGTCTGAATACATGGTGTATTCTATTTAAAGTTAAGATTTAAAAAAAAAGCAGATTCTTGTCTGTCTTTGCTTTACTTTCATTCTTTCTTGAAAACATCAGTGAAAGTACTGCAGTTCTTGCTGTCCAGTCCAAAGTGATTTCATTACAAATGTGTTAATTGAAGTTTTGGATTAAAAAGCACGAGAACAGGGCAATAAGCAGCACTTACCCTTCAGCTTGTTACCTGCTGACTTGTGTGATCTGCTTACTCAATACTGTGACATTGGTGGGACATGAAATATTGTTATGCAAGAGTAATTATATGGATAAACCTTTTAGAGACCTTAACAAGCACATGTTCTTTAGTTGAGAAGTCATTCTTCTGTAGGTCATTAGTAGAGGAAGGAAAGAAACCTCCTTGAGTGACCAAAAGAAGAAACTATACATGTGAAATTTCAGATTTAGTTCTTAGGTTTTAAGGCCATGTAAAAATTTTTGAGCAGAACATAATCTTCTTTCATTTACATGCAAAACATTCTTAAATATAAAGCATATATTGAATAAACGGTTGTAATTTTCTTGTTAATAGCTCACAAAGTCTCTTCCACCACGGACTATTGGCTATCCATGGACTCTTGTCTACAGTACTGCAAAGCATGGCATGAGCTTGAAGACCTTGTATCGGACAATGATGGGATTAGACACGCCTGTGCTGTTGGTTATCAAAGACAGTGATGGACAGGTAGGAAAATATTTGTGTGGCAGTAGACCCATCAAGAAAAATGTTTGAGGAATACAAAGGAACAGCTGATGCTTCAATCCATCGTGGGAGATAAAATTGTACTTATCAAGCAAGTTAAAATTTTCTGTATCAAGCAAATTTTCTCCTTAATAATGTTTCACTTAAGCAGTTATCCAACATACTATGTGTCTAGGAAATATTTTAATGATACTAATTAGTTGTTGTAATGCAGGAGTCTGGTAATATCCAATTAATTTAATTTATTTTTTTTAATGCACTTAAGGCATGAGAAATGCAGTCTCTAAAACTTCCCTAGGCTGTAAGGTCTTGTTGAGTTGCAATGTTGTTAGCTGTAGCTAGTGCTTCTTGGTATATTTTGCGCCTGCAGCCAGCATCTTTCAAGAACTGTACTACCTTTGTTACATTATTAACTTGTTCTTTGAGCCTCTGTAGTTGTGCTCAGTTTTTCTTTGACTGGGTTATGGATTTCAGAAAGTGGCTCACATCTCACTATTTGAATAGCAAACATCCTCTCTTGAATAATCTAGGAACAGATGAACACTGCAAGCAGAATGAAACTTCTTGATTCTTTCTGCAACTTCTGTGTTTGCTTGTGGAAGCATGCTACTGCTGTCATGAAAAATTGCCAGAACCACCATAAAAAAATCCACCACTGGAGCATTCAGATCACTTACCTCTCTGAGTTTGGTAACCATAGTCTCATTCAGGGAGTCTGAAAACAGTAAATGAAGAGTATCTTTTCTTTTTCAAGTCATAACTTGATTTTTTTCCTTGTTTCCTACCCCAAGGGTCCCTTAAAAATAAGAATCCCCTCTAACTCTCCACTGGTAGCACACTCTTTCCCAGAAGTTCTTTAAAAAATTTTTTCTTCATTTACCTTTTAATATTGAGGACAGAAACTATTGAATTGACTTGAGATGTCTCAGCAGACTCATCAGTCTCATAAATGTATTTGGGTGACTTCTCTAATTCACTTATTAGCTTCTCTAGATAAATTAGTAAGATATACCTGCTTCCTAATACCTGATTATCTGTCCCAGAAAAAAAATGTCCTTTTTCTCATGGGGCTGTTTTGCCACCACTGTGTAGTATTGTCTGTTGCTGCAGGAATTAATTCATACTCTTTCTGTATATGAGCATCTTGGCTTGAATGTTCAAAAAGTGTCACAGTTTCCCTGTCAAAACATGGAGTTCATAGATACATTTTTTTTTTTTTTTTTTTGGTGAAACAAACCTTGGTGAATCTCAGCTTGCAGCCTTATACCTAGGAATATGTATGAAAGCATGCCTTGGAATTCTGGGTTAAGCAGTCACTGAACTGAGTTTTCAAGCATATGCCAAACCTTACCTAGGTTCCACACAAGTGGGGGAAATCCATGTTTATTCAGTGAGCAGTATATGCAGGAGTGGTTCAGATGAGTTTTACAGGCTCAGTCCTTCACCAGTGTGGTGGGAGTGGTATTTTCAGTAGCTCTGCCTCATGTTATTAATGAAAAATGTCTACATTTGTTAGCAGATACGGATATTCAGCACAGAATCTTTTTCCTGTTCATGCAATCATGAAAAATAAGACAATGGTAACCAACTTTGCTCTTTGAGAATTAGTATGGGTAATTCATTTATTTGTGAAGCTACTGATTTTTTTTGGAAGAGGTTAATTTATTTTTAATGTCTTGTATTTTCCTGGCAGATAGTCCTTTAAAAATGCTTTCCATGACTGCAAAAGACTCTAAATACTTCAGAGGATAATGTGTCCAGGAATAGTTCCCTAGCAGTATGCTAAGATAAATACTGTATATGCCCTCCAAAAATGTGTTTTAAGAGATCAGGTGATTATTCATACCTTACCCTCCAAGATCACTGCCTGTTTTCTGAGATACTAGTTCAGAGAAGATCCTAAATGAGATTCAGCCATTTTGAAAAATGACAGAATTATGACCTGATAGTTTCTTGACACTTTCTGAGCATATCTGCTCAGTCCTCTTTGGTATTCATTGTTCTGCTCACTTTGTATCTTCAGTGTTTATGAAGGATACTGGAATTGTTCTATCCTTGATTGAGGCACTTTTCTTTTAAACTGGAATGAATTTCTTTCCTGAGCTGCTTCCCCTGAGATATGTTTCTTTGTTGTCTGTGTTTATGAAGACTTCTTTTTTACATTGATAATAGGTTGAGTAAGGAGCAAGTGTACCTTGTAACATTTCATAATGTTCCATTAAAGGTTGCTAAGCCTCACTCTACTGAATTTTTGTTCAAAAATCTTTTCTAATCTTGCTTTCTTTTTCAGAATAATTAGTAATTTTATTTAAATGCCTGTTAAAAAAAAAGGCAAAACCCCCAAACAAACAAAAGAAAAAAATAAGCAAAACCATTGAACTTTTGCAAACCTTAGTTGTGTAAAAGCTGAGCAATGCCTGGTTGGAATTTGGAATCTAAAACCACCTAAATTACCTACTCCAGGAGATCCTTTAATAAAGGTGCCCATGAAACCTATAGTTACATCACTACAATTTTATTATGGCTTGTCTATCTACTGGTATGTGCTTCTGTTAGTGAACCCCGATGGCTATTTAAAAAGAAATTGGTACCTGATTCCTGAAAATGAGTCACTAAATAAGTGGTGGTCTAGAAATGGGATTAATGCAGCTAACCACCTCAAGGACTGTCTAGTTTTATAAAAAGTCATTCTTCAGATTGTATGCACTGCATGGAACCTAGGATGTGGGAATTTTAGTTATCCACCCTAACAACTAGCCACAAAAGTCAGATCTCATGGAAACATCCAAGGGACATAACTTCTCAAGAACTAAAATAACGGTTGGGAAGCAAATTGCACTTTTTCTGTAAAGCCTTTTTCTTTTATTGTTGCTTTAGCAAAGAGGTGATCTTTCAAGACTCAGCTTGAAGTATATAGAACATAGAAAAATTGTCAAATCCTGATTCCTGAGGGTACTCAAAAGCTCAACTGGACAAAACTGAGTCAACCTAATAGCTTCAGAATCAGTCCCCCATTGAGCAGGGAATTATGTGGGAGACTGAGGTTCTTAATAGCTTAATTTATTCCATAATTAGAAAAAAAGCTTCAGGGTCTCTAAAGTAAAACACTTTTATTTTGTAGGTTTTCTACATGGTTAGAATGTACTAGTCTTGTGTTTTGCTGGGTATACAGATAACATCCCTGAGAGGATCCAAGACAACCACTGGAATAAGTGTTGTGTGAAAAGTTTATACCTGTGTGGAGGCTGAACTGAGATAGTTTAGGTTTGACAAAACTGTTTGTTACTTTAACTGAAGGTTAATTCCTCTCAAGGAATGTCTATTGTTAATGAAATCTTATATTTACTTTTATCTTTTTTACTTATTTCTATTTACTCGATGTAGTGTCAGCCCTAAGGATGTTTATCTGAAGTAAGGCATGTCCACTTCAGTCATGAGTTGAGCAGTGCTCTGAGCCCTGCTCTCCAGCTGTATTTCTGCAATAGCTACCTGATTGTAGCTTAGCTACCAGAACTGCTGCAGTTATTCAAAGAATGACTTGAGCCCTTAAAAGAAGTTAGGATACAGAGACTCTAATAGTTAGAGGACTAAGAAATAATTGCAAGGGTTCCCATTGCTTGAAAATATGCTTGTAGTTACTTAAATATGGAATATTATGTATTTCACCAGCACATTTTGTTTTATTCATTGATGAAACTAAATTTGAATTCATTATGGATTTTTATGCTAAAAAATGCTCTATTTAAGTTCACTTATCTGCACATGCTAAGTGCAGTCTAAGGTCACAAAATATTTGACAGAGAAAAGTTAACGGTGAGTTTTCTGAAGTCTAGTCTACAGACCCAGATGCTTGAAATAACAAAAAGGAAAAAGTGTCTCATCTATCCTGCTTTTTAGAGTTTACATGCACAAAGACAGTATGAAATAGGCATAAATTACTACAGCAATTGTAAGTTCTTTCTGACTCATCTTTAAATTCTAGCCTTAACAGTTACATGTAGTTGAACTACAGGTAGTAAAGATCAACTAAACATTAAATACTGTCTTGAAGTTCCAATTCCCATGATTCCATCTAACCAGTAATGGGCTAAAAAAAGGTGTTGATAATGTTAGGGACTCATTTCAAGCCTTGAATTAAAAATATATGGGTGGGGAAAGGCATCTTCTGGAAACAAGCAAGAAAACATACAATTCATTTATTTTGGCCTGATTTCCCCAAGAGCAAAAATGTAGTAGTTTCTTTCTGTCTTAAGCTGTTCTTGACATTGAGACCGTGGAATAATAAAGAAATATCTTCCCAGTGTTGGATCCTAGATGTTGAATGAAATAAATACCTCTGCAAAAAAAATTTGAGCTAGTTTTCCCGTGAACTTGCATTAAAACAAGGGTATGGAAACATGCATCTCAGTTCAGGGATCTTCAAGTCTTTAGACTGAATTTGTTCTTTAACAGTTTGTCTGAAACTGATACAGGTATCAGAAAAGTGAGCACCTTTAGCTGACTCTGAAACTTCATTTCATCCCCTTGTCAAGTGAGTTTAAATATTGTTCTAGAGAATCAGGTTGTTAGATTATAAGCATTGGTCACATACATGTTTAAAGGTAATTCTTTGCACTGTTGTAAAGGAACCATTTTACATGAGTAAAGTAACTTGTCAGTATAGTGACATTTTGTTCTTAAGAAAGGTAATATAAAGAAATAAAGTAGTAGTAATATGAGGAAGTTTATGTACGCACTGTGACTAAAGAAAGTTTGGTATAAAAGTCCTACTTCTTGTCTGCTCTCTAACAATGGAGTCAAAGCATGTACAGTACTACCTGCATCAAATTGTTGTCCATAATTTTTAAAAATTAATAAGAGTTTATTGCAAGAGAATAATTCTTGAATTCAACAAAATGTAAGCACATGCTGTCTCATGTCCAGCTTTTCATCCATAAGAATCCCTAAGTTGTTCTCTTCAGGGCTGCTCTCAGTGAGTTCATCTCCAAGTCTGTAGTTAAGTTGGAAATTTCCCTGACTCAGGTACAGGACCTTGCACTTGGATTTGCTGAACTTCATGAGGTTCACACAGGACAAGTTTGTCCAGGTCCCTCTGGATGGCATCCTGTCCTTCTGTTAAAATCTGTCCCATTGTAAGACAGGGTAATCGGTGCTTACCTGGTATCTGGACTAAAATTAATAAATTGTGTGGAAGATATCTCAGCTTCAGCTAGGAACTTGCTGAAAATAGCCTAGTGAAGTGAAATAGGAGTTGTGTAAGAAGGACTTTCTAATCTGAAATATTAAGTATGTATACACTGGTTTTGAGAGTTTTTGAAGTTTAGTTTTTATCCATTAGATTTTCTTTTTTCTTACTGTGCTCATTTATTGAGGATGAGTGCTCTTAGTTTCTATTGTACCACAAAGCACAGTATCATATCTCAGTGCCCTCAAAACCGTGGTACAGTGAAATTCATGGAGTGAATTTCAAATGGACAGTATTTGCAATATGATTTATCAGTTACTATTGTTAGAGATTCTTGAATTCTGTGTAGTTTCTCTGAAGTTTTTCTTGCTCTGATGTATTTTTGCTGCAGGTTTTTGGTGCACTAGCATCTGAACCGTTTAAAGTGAGCGATGGCTTTTATGGCACTGGGGAGACCTTTATGTTCACTTTTTCTCCAGATTTTGAGGTAAGTAGTAATGACTTTGTATGCTTTTGCTCCCTTCCTCACCACCACCCCAAATGCATGATCTTAAAATACTTAAGGAATAAATTTGACTGTAAATCTGAAAATGTTACAAGTTGGCCCAAAGGAAGTCATCACATTAATTTTTTTCATGGAATCTTTAAATGCACGGTGAATTGGTAGTGTTTGCATGCTAAACAACACATTCAACCTGACTCTTTAATTATATTGAAGATTTTTCTGCTGTTTAAATTCTTCCAGGTGTCTGTCTGAAAATTCACAAACTGCATCCTTTTTAGGGGCATATCAATTAATCCAAGTATATTTTCTTGGTATTGTTCATTGCATAGGAGTTTTGGTGCTCAAAGATGACTTGGTTTGAATGGCCTTATTTTAATTAGTGTAAAACCTCAATTTTTGTCTGCAACTATCTGTTTCCTGAAATTTCTGTGTCAACAACATTAAACTGGCCTCTAGCCACCCATAGACTGTCTTTACTGATGGTTGGTTTCCCTTCTGCCCAAATGAAAAGTTCAGGTATTTTTACTTGCCTAGTCTGTTTTGGTGTTTTGGGTTTTTTTTTTCCCTTAGGTTTTTAAATGGACAGGAGACAACATGTTCTTCATTAAAGGAGACATGGACTCTCTTGCTTTTGGTGGAGGAGGGTAAGTTACAATTAGAATCTGCTAAAAATATTTGTCTGGACACCTTTGAAAAGAAAAATCAGAGTTGACTTCAGTTTGGTAGCTCAGGAGTCAGTGGTTACCAGCCAAGAAACTAGTATGTCGGGTGTTTAGCTTCCAATGCAGACTAAACTTAAACAGGTTTGTCTTCCCCATAGAGTGGCATAAAGTTTCAGCCCTGCAAGGTTATGATGCCTTTCATGCTTGACTTGCATGTGTGTCTTCTTGTATTCAAAAGATATGATTGTGGAAAGACGTAAATGTGAAAATTATGTGTAACTAGAAGAGGCCTGAATTGAAACTGAACCATCCCAAAACATGCCAGGGTCTCCAGGAATCATACATCATCTTGTCCTGGCTTTTTCCTGCCCATGCAGGTGCATATGCTTCTGGAATGTTTTCCTTATTTGTTATCAGCGTTCTCTTTAGATATAAAAGTGCTATTTGTCATCTCTTAATAAAAATGGAAGAGGCTGAAAACGAAGGAATTTTAGTCAGCTTATTTCAGAATATCTGCAGATGGGATATTCCCAAATTAATAATACTAAAAAATAATTAAATCCTTGTAGCATAAATTTATTAACAGCAACGAGGTATTTGTGTTAAAAAATCATTACTTAATTCCTTTTAATTTCTAAATTTTGAATTAAAAATACATTGATAGATGCAATGCTTACTCCCTCAGTCTTTGCTTTAATATGTTGTCTGTCTTGCAGAGGAGAGTTTGCTCTTTGGCTTGATGGTGATCTCTACCATGGAAGAAGTCATTCATGTAAAACATTTGGGAATCACACACTTTCTAAGCGAGAAGACTTCACTATTCAAGACATAGAAATATGGGCTTTTGAATAAGTATTTCACTATTTCTACAGGTTATTGTCCCAAACCTGACATGAATCAGTGCAGCTTAAAAATCCCTAGGAGCAATATAATGTATTTTACTTATCTGGGTTTTTTGGTTTTTTTTTCTAATTTTTCAGTGTGGCCATTAGTTATTATTTTTAAATAGCAGAAGTTTTTTCATGCTCTTGCATCTGTAATATACTGTCATACTTTTTCTAAGCTATAGACTCTTTTACAAAATATTGACCTTGTAGACTAAAAATTAACATTAGTTTGTGCCCTGTGGCCTGCAAAATTTTCTTATCCATATTACAGTTGCCTCCCAGGTTTCCCACACACACCTTTCCTGCAATCCTGCTAGGGGGCTGCTTCATTGAATATAGCTTATTATTTTTGTATTCAAATTATGTCTATGAATGAAGTTGCCCTCTGTGAACCTCTGAGAAAGCTGCGTGTGGGTATTTGGCAGCAGCACTGCAGAGATTGGTCCAGACCAATGATGGGTTATTCAATTGGTGCCACAAATGGATGAGAAGCTGAGCATTCCTTCTTAACGCAGCCCAGTACACACGTGGTGAAGTTAGAAGGTATCCAAAGTCAACAGTGCCACTTGTCTTGTTTCTTGTTCATGTGTAGAAAAAAGTCAGTTAATATGTGTTGTAGCTGCATGCTGATTGTATGTAGAGTGTTTTGCACATGCTGTTAATGATCTGCAGGTTTGGGACAAATACTGAAAATATTGAGCTAAGTGGCAAAGACTACAAAATAGCAAGCGAATGTAATATGATAGTTCCAAAAAATTAAAAGGCTAAAGCAAGCAAAACTCAGTGAACAATTTGTAGCTATAGTAGGGCATTAAAAGTACAGAAACAGATGCATCTTTCTTCAACATAAAGTGTCAGATATATACTGTTATACTGTTGTAGCCGTGTAGCACATCAGCTCCAAGAATATAGCTTATTCCTGTCCAAAGAAAAAAATTATTTGTGATGTTTTTGAGTGGGTCTATGTTGTAAATTTACAATTAGCACCAGCTCTGATTAAAATAACATCATGTATCATAGGTAGACAATATTGTAATTCAGTAGACTTGTGGAATATGCAAACTTACTGTCATGTGACCTCAAAAAATAAATGACAGGCTAGAATACAGTTCCAGTAGCTCTTGTCCACTTTTGTAGAAAACTTGATAAGCCATTGTGGCAATAACAGCTCAACAAAACTGTTTGTTTCAAAGCTTTTATTCTATGTTCTGCAAAAAGAAAAAAAACCAAAAAAGAACAAAAAAATTGCTGTTAAGTGTGACAGTGACTGACTTTGTGCTGAAATTTCAGCTATTTCGGACAAACATTGTATATTTTCTTGTAAATTAATGTTTAAAGTAGTTTTGTTATTATAGAAAAGTGTTGATTGACGGGTTGCTTATAGCACTTTAAATTATTCTAGAAATGGAATAAAAGCCAAATGTGTTGGCTTACATAGATGTAGTTGTATATTTCAAAATATTTACATTTCTGGAAAGTTAAAAAAAAAACTTATTTGAAGACAGCTTACTGCTATGGTAATGAGAAAGGGCAGATGTTTCACCTATAATATGCTAATGCTCAATATGAATAGAAAAACAGGGCTTTGTTTCCTGTCTCTATGTATATCTCTTTATCCTTATTAGAACTTAGTACAATGTGTAGAGTAAATGTTTACAAAATAAGGAACTGTAAATAAATTGAAATGGCTTTTCTCCCCTTTGGTCTTCCACAGCAGTATTATTGTCTTTGTGGAGTTACAACTGATTATTACAACAACAAAAAAATCCTGTAATGGATTCTAAGTTCTATAAGCTCACAGTGATGTATAGCAAATAAATCTAAATATATGTAAAAATAAACTTGACTTGGAGTTTGTTTAGAAGGTAAAGTTCATGTAGAAGCACAAATGCCATTCATTTAACAACTGAATGTATAGGATGCATTTTCTCATCTTTTTTGGCATTTCTGAGGCTTTTTAAAGCCCAGTGGGAAGCAATGGGTATGAAATATGTTGACTTCAACCATTTTGAAGAGGGAGAAGGAAAAGGTCTCAGATCATCCTTGCTGACAAAACCATTAACTCAACTGCTTAGTCTCTATCCTAAGCTCATATTGCAAATAAAGCATATTTTAATTTTTTAGAGAGCAATGTGAAGAACTTGATAAAGAATTATACTTTGAAGAATTGAATGAAAGCGCACAAAAATCTTCAGTAGCTGAATGTTTCCAAGTGTCGGACCAGTCTTGGAAAAGCAAAAAAATAGAAATCAAGGATAGTGTTTAGTAAGCAGTACAGTAGTAATCATGCTTGTAAAATACTGAATTAATTAAGGAATAGAAGAACATTTGATTTAAAGTATAAGTGACTATGGAAACACTTGGTGAAGCAACTGGCTTTGTAAGGGATCTATAGAAAGTAGTGCATGTCTATTTGAGCAAGACCATGAATTTTATTACCCGAGATGTAGGTAATTTTTGTATGACACACATAAAAGGTACTGTCTTGATGTCCCTTCTGCCTTCAATTCATTGTCCTTTTTCTGCAATAGAATTCCTTTCCATCTTCCTGGCAAGGTTTGCTTCTGTGATTGTAAAGCTCAGGGTTTGACATTCGCTGAAGGCTTATGAGACACATTATCTGGAGTTTGCTGCCAGAAGACTGTCTCAGCATACAATACTTGGATGGATTCACTGAGTCACTTGATGTTTTATTTGGGTACCTCAGATCCAAACACAGGCTTTTTCAAGTACGATCTTTTGGTTCTAAATCCTATCTGTGTTAGTTACTGCTTTTGTGTAACCTGCAAAAAGGTCATAATTTGTGATGTAAAGCTTGTGCTTGTATCTACCTGCTCACCTGTTTATATTGCATTAGAGTTATTTTTTGGTACATAAATTAGAATGTCTGCATAAAATTTACTCTTGGAAGATGAGTAAGAACTATGACTATTAACTATTCCTTCAGCTTCAAATAAAAAATAATAATCTTGTGTTCTTCATACAGTATTTGAATCTAAAATCCTACTTTTAAGTTCTCCCTTCATAAAGGAACAGATGTCATCAGGGTATTTTACTGTTGTCACTGCAGTTTGGAACTCAATTAAGGGAGCAAACCTCCTCTTTCTTCTCTTATGAGCACAGGCTACTGCAATGATAGAGGGCTACACTGTGCTCCTGGAGCAGAGAGAGGAATTGTCCAGCTGAGAATGGTGTACGCTTGGTGTTGTATATGCAAACCAGTCCTGCTGGCTGTCTCACTGCAGAAGTGCCGATGCCAGCCCTGCTTTCTGCTGTCCTGCTTACCTTACAAGCTTTGTAATCATCCTTTTTCTCTTGTGATAAGTACACTGCTGATAGTACATGTGCTGGTGAATGCTAAACTACTTTGTGCTCTGAGGTGTCAGCAGTGGCTTTAGTTGAGATGTTGGGGCAGAGCAACTGAAATGGTTTGAGAAGAGGGCCTGCCAGTATCTCTTCTGTGATTGAACATATCACCATGAATAGTATGCTCTTCACTACAGCTAATTTTATTTCAGTAGCCTTCCCCTGTTTTAAAAATGAGCTGTATTACTGAGCCTTGGCTGTACAGAAATATTTGTAAAAAGGAATTATTGCTGTGGAGGAGGGAGCTGATTTCTACTGGCTGGGAGTGAACCTTCCACTCACTTCAAGCCACTGCAGCAACTGTTTTAAGACTTGAAAAAATACAAAGGTGTATAAGTCAAATTTATTTCTTGTGATACAAGTTCCATGCTGATTCTTAAGCTTGATAGCTGTATTAGAATATGAAAAATGTAAGTTCCTTAGAAGACAAATTTTTTTCACTACCAAGGATGTGCTAAAGCAACACTAGCTTCAAACAGGAGAGTGTGGGAGCTCTGTTTCCAGTGCAACACTGAAACATGAAAACATTAAAAAAAAGTTTGGGAGTGAATACTGTATTTAAGAAAATGATGTACAATTATGGGATACTATGAGAGTAGCTGAGAGTTGCTTATTGTCTCAAAGGTGAAAGGTTTTATTTTCAAAGCAAGTCAGAACTAGGAAATACTTAAATTTGGCTGAAGTTATGCTAGTTTCAGAGGAATGTAACACAGTATAGTAGGAGAGTTAGAGTGAGTAATTCGGGGAGTACTTTTGGTTGTTTTTTTAATGAGGTCAGATTTATTATCTCCCACACCATGGATAAATTTGTCACGAAACTTAATGTAAACAAATGTTATAAAGCATATAACCTACATGAAATGCTTCCATACACCATAACTTATATCAGTATTTAATGCTTCTTTTTGACAAAAATAGTAAATTCTTTTCAGAAATTAAAGGGCTTTTGCATGATACTGCCCACTTAAATAGTGGAGGGTAGTATGAACAAAAATACTCAATTCTTAGTTATGTCACGTGGTTTACTCATCCAGTTGGTAATAAAATAGTTTGAGGGGAAGAATAGAAAAAAGTTGTGGGTTTGGTTTATTTTGCATAGATTTTAACACTGGGGTGACTGAATGGGAGGCTTAAGTTACCTGCAGTGAGCTGTCAGTCAGTGAGGTTGATGATACATAGTAGTGTTTACATTGTTACAGCTGCTGTGTTTTCCTGTGGTAAGATGGGAATTCTCAGGAGCAGAAATAGGTAATTCAGTTAACACTTACATGCCTTTAATGTGCATTCTTTGTACAGGTGTTTTGTGTAAGGTCTATTGCCATGTACTCTGAAATCTTTTTCTGGTGCTTTGGATGGAGAAACCTTCACAGGAAGTAGTTTAATAGCCATGAAAAGGAGAATGTGCTTATACTCTGAAGCAACTTCCTGATATTTTACTTCACTGAATATGCCACATATTTGTTTTCTGGTGTATGTGAGGATAACTCAAGAAATAATTAAGGGTTTTATTTATAGTTCATATATTCCTTTGACAACAAATTTTTGTCAAGACAACTTAGCTATAAAAGGTCATTATATAAAGATGTAAAGAAATAAGAATATGCAGGTAAAAATTATATTACATATTAAATTATGATATTATGTAAGTATTACACTAAGACGTCAGTTTTATAGGTCAACTTGAGTAGTCTGAGATCTCAAGAAAACATTAAATAAGCTCAGTTGATTCCATCTTAAAATTTTTTTCTTCTGTGGAGTCACATAATATAACTATGCCTCAAGTATTAATGATTTACATAGATTTAGAATAGATGTAGTAGTTAGTTCTCATATCATTAAGTTATAAAATATTTGGTTTATTTTTACATTGAAGCTTCAAATTGGAGTACCTGTACTCCTAATAAGACAGCAATATTTGTTTTATCAAGATGTTAATACACCTCTTCTTCTGTAAGAAGATATTTGCTCTTTCAGTTTGAAAGAATCATAAGGGGAAAAAACACTTCTTTTTCATTACTTGCACAGGCATCTGCTCTGAAACAAATGCTTTTCATGTGAAGCACACACATTTAATAGGACAGCTATTTTTACTGTCTCTCAAATCCAGTAAGTAGCAGAGACCTTACAGAGATCTCAAATTTGTGAAAATACAATTTGAAGTCCTAGAAGCATTAGTTCATTAGCATTCAGTCCTCTTCAGCATCACCTGGACTGAAATACATTATTTTAGTGACATTAGAATGCTCTAAAATGCTATAAAATTAGGTATTTCTGTGTAATGTGGAACAACATTTTCCTCAAAGTTATGGATGCCATTTCTCTCTTTTCTCAAAGAGCTACATTTCAATGCAAGATGATGATACTAGTCACTTTTGTGCTGTATGCAAAAGTACAAGTACCTGTCTAGTTTTCATATGTTACATATTATTTTTCCCTGTATTTATAAGAACAGTATCTACATAGATAATCAGAGGAGACATTGAGGCATTGCACAATGTTGCATAGAAGGTATGTTTTAGGTTGCTATCTAATCAAAACTCTTTTATTCATTACATTCCAATGTCCATAAGTTTAAATATGAAACAATCTAAAAAATTAGATCTAGAAATACAATAAATATATAAAACCCCATTTATAAAAAGGATTTTTTAATGTGATATGTAAGAGAAAGCTGTGTCAGTAGTTGGATCAACAAGATAGTGCTGCAGTAATAGTTCCATACTGTGCTTGTAAAGAAAACAAATGTGGTTTCCTTGATCTGTATTAAAATAAGGTAATTCTACTTGTATTTAAATCAATTAGGAAGTGCGTGCACAAGACCATTTTTCAGATCAAAAACTTTGAATTTGTGTTATCATTCAGCTTCTCGTCTGGCATGTTTCATATTCCTGATATTCCAGTTTAAACAGGTTGGGAATATCTTAATGTAACAAGAAGTAGAAATTGGAATTAGTTTGTTGCTATTTATGTTGCTATGAGCTTTTATCATCAGCTGCTTATATTTCATATAGATTTTTCTCCTTATTTTTCTTGTAGTAGTTAACTTAATTGTCCTGCAAGCACTTCTGGTGCAAAATGGAGTCCATTTGGATGTTTGGTTTATCATGCACTCGTTATAAAATGCACATTTCAAAAAATACTCTTTTGTATGTGGTGAATAGGGGAATCCTGTATTCAAAATGTGCAAATGCTAATGGCAAAGGAGAAGAAAAGTTTTCTAAAAGCTGTTCTGATTATAGCCTAACTTATTTTAATAAAGTAATTATGACATTATCATCTCTTCCTTGCCATAACATTTCTCCTTCAAAGTCCACCAGCCCATGTTTCCTGGCTCTCATCAGGATCCCAACAACCTTATCTGAAATACGAACGTATCTGTCGAAGAGTTCCCCAAAAGTGACTTGGATCTTGCCATCAGGCCGTGGCTTGGCCATGGATTCAATGATGAAGCACATGTCCCTGATCTCCCGGTGGATGTGGGCCTCAGCTCTCTTGGCTCTCTCAGCAGTTTTGGTTCCTTCCTTTGGGCGGCCGTATCCTTCATCTCCTTTGTGCAGGCGCGTGGCCATGGCCAGCTCGTGGTCAAACTCCTCGCTGAAGGGGTTCAGCTTCTGCGTTGTGATGTGCTGGTCGGCCCATTCCTGCCACCTGTCCTTGAGGCTGTGCACGGCGCTGCATTTCCTGCGCGCCTTGCTCCGCGCCTCCTCGCTCAGCCGGCTGGCGCTGGAAGACACAAACACACTGAGCCTTGCCTCGCTTTCCTGATGCGGTTCTGCTGTTTCCTGCTCTCTGCTGTAACTGGGTTACTGTGCTTTTGGGACGAGCTGGAATCCACCAGGTGGCACGAGTTCACCACTTGTAAATTAGTTCTCTAGGGGCTGTTCGTCCACATTCAGTTTGCACGTAAAGGTAAGTTCTGTGATGACAGCTTTATCCTGTCTACACTACCACCTTCCAGTGCCAGTCTGAGCCCATTTTGACAAACTTTGCACCAGAATGACTTAATTCTGTAAGGGAGCGAAACAGTATGTTGCTGCACTTTCTGTACCTTTGGCCAGTCACGCAGGTCCCCATTTCTGCATGCTTGGTCAAGCCTGAAGTATGCCTGCCCTGAGGCTAGAGATGCTGATTGCTGTAGGTGTATGACCTGGCTGAAAACTAGAGGGTAGTGCCTAGAAAAATCTGTCCTCTGTAATAGATGTCTATGATTATAACAACAACAAAAAGCTAATTGAGTGCAGTAGCTCTGTCTATGCTTCTGTATTTGGAGTATGGTTCTGAACAAATATTGAAGTCCAAAATTCACATTCCCATGGGTAGGGTAGAAGCATGAAAGTGTCAAGGACAAAGGATAACGAAAGACCTTTGGATTTTTTTTTTCTATTTTTCTGTGTGTAATAGTTCTGGATGACTCCAGGCAGACACTCTATCCTATCGTGGCCAATCTGACATGTTATGGGGGAGCTATAGATAGTCTGAGCTAGTCTTTGTGCTGTCCACGTCCTGTCAATGTGTAGGTACAGAACTCAGTTGGGACTGTGTTGTGCTGTGACTTTGCCAAAGTAATTTATTTTCTAATATTTTTACTCCCCAAAAGGCTGCTCTGAAACCTCCCCAGTAACGTCAGCTGAATATTAACATCAGAGAATCAAAATGTACTTTGCAAACAGCGTACAGGGCTGCAAAGTTGCAGAAAATTCTGTACCCCCTCTGTTTGGCCATTCCTTTGTTTTCTACTAAGCTGCTTGAAAGAGGGAATAGGAGTCACAGAGATGTCCCCAGTTCAGATCCGTGCCCCAGAAAGGTGCCTGTATTGGGCAGGGCTATGCTAGGCTAAGAATTGCAAACACCTAGTGCCAGGGATAGAAAATGATCTAGGAGAGCTGCACTACTTTATTAGCTGGACTTGCCCAAAGATTGGCTTAGCTGTATTGAGGAGCTGTGTTTAAAAAGCTCCGAAATACTCTTCCCTATCAATCTGGTGAAAAACCGTCAGAAGAAGTGAGCATACGGAGTTGCCAAGTGCACCTTTCTTCTGTGATGTGACTACAGAGCATCCTAAGAGTAGGCAGCATGTCTGTACCTAATTATTTTTTGTAAGTAACTAACAAGTGTTGTCAGGAAAGCATTAAAATATCCTATTGGGGTAAATCTAGACAATTTGGTTTCCTGACAATAAACCAAATGCTCCTCTGTATGAGCTATTGTCAAACAGAAAAAAAGGAAAGCTGTGATCATTTGTCCCTTTGCCTGAATTGTGTCTCCATTGTCCAGAGAACTGTGGGTACAGGGTTTGGCTATGCAAAGGAATTTGTCTCCTGAAACCTATGACTACCTCAAAGGTCACAGAAACCCTGTGCCAGTACAGTCTGAACTCCAACTGAAGCTCAGATTGCTTCACTAGCTCTTCATATGTGTAGCTATCAGTTAAGGCAGGGGAAGAAAAATCCCAAGTGAATCAAAATTGCCTTGAAGAAGTGATGCCATCAGTCTCAGTGGAGTTTTTGAGTAGCTATCATCATGGAGGGCTTATTCCTCTTCCACAGCCAGCTGCTTCCCCTTCTCTCCAGGGACTATGACCTCTTAAGAAAGTCTTAGAGCTTCGGTTCCCCAGGTTGAGTGGAGAGAAGAGGGGGAGTGAGACAGCAGGAGGCTGTGCAGTCTTTGTTAATTGCTTTAATTTCACGTTCCGGAATGTAATCCCTCTTTTTTCTACTGAAACTAATTTTCCTTTCTAGCAGAATATTATTGCCTTCCTCATCCAAATCATCTTCTCAGTGGTTGAGAAAACCATCTTATCTATCCTTTTGCTTTTACCATGCTTCATGTGGGCTTGAAAAAAACCTTACTTTTTAAATGCAGCTTGTAATCCAGCCAATTCAAGTTGCTGAAGTGCTATTTTTGCCATTATTTAGCCTAATGGCAAGTTTAAAACATGAGTTGTATACACATAGAAGCATTTTTTCATGTTTCTACTGCACCTACACAAAGGATTGTGCATCCAAAGTGAAGATTTTGAACCTTCACCCACTCTGAGAACTGTTGTACATGCAACAATCAGCTAAATTAACCTGATAACCAGAATGATCATCCTAAATGCATTCTGACCTTCTAGGCAAATAATATCCATGTTGCATGTTCACTCTGGTTCTGTCTGTAGGGGAAGGGGATGAATCCCGTTTTAATGTTTTGAGTTTCATAACCCTTTTTTTGCATCCCTTTTGCTCCTAAGCAGGAACAGAATAGTGTCTCTTTAAAGGAGGAGGAGTCAACAGGCCTTCTACTAAAGAAGCAACCTTATTTCAGTAAGCAGTGAAGCTGGATATAATGAAGGTGCTGGTAAGAGGAAAACAAAATACTTCCACTGATGCTTTTTTCCTGGAATGTAGAGAGGAAAATGGGACATACACTTTAACAACTGCATGCTTATGGCCTTTTGGAAGATTAAACCACATTAAAATGTTTATAAAGATAGTACAGTACTGGTAGCAGCACTGTAAGTGCAGAAAATTATTTTTGTGTCCAATTTCAGTGGAAGAAAGAGCTGTAAGTAACAGAGAGTGTTATTTCAATCATTTTGGCCACAGTAAATATGGCTAATCAAACTTTTTTCAAGATAGCAGCACTACAATTAGACATATGTGGAAAATACCAGAAGAGCTTCACAGAAGCTAGATAGTTGGTCTGTTTCTACTATAACATTTTAAACTGAAATTTTTTTTAAATTTAAGTCTTTTTCCGATAAGTGCTGCAAATATATACTTTTTCTACTGTATATTTGGAATCTTTGGTTTGAGGCCCTAATTTCTGCAAAAGGATGGTGCGCACAGTCCTTGCCAAAAGCAGGTACCACAAACTTTCAATCCCTGGGTTACTGGGGAGCTTTTTTCACTTGGGTTGTTAACCATTTTCTTTTTACAGGAGCTGACTGCTCAGCTGTACAGCAAAGCATCGTTTTAATCCCATCTGAATAGCTAAAATAGCTCTGGGAGTGTGTGCTCAGATAGCTGTGCTTAAATGTACATGTATGTAAATGTACATGTAAATGTATGGCTGAAATCCATAACTGTGTTAGTCACAATCTAACAGTTACGATAATGTTCATCAGTAGTGATGTGTAAAACCAAAATAGTGACCATGATAGAGCCTGCCTGCCTGTCTGCACGGGGATCACAAAGTCTGTTTTGGCATTTTCATCACTTTTTCATCATCAGTGATGATCCAGATTTTAATTTCTGAAATTGCAATTGAGATATGGTATGAATTGGGGTCCAAGATCTGTGGAATTTTCCTTTATTTGAATTGGTAAATTCCAAATTCATGGAAGGCTCCCAAAGAGAATCAGTGAACCCAACTTTTGGTAAGAAGTATATGGAAGTAATTTCTGGAACATTAATTTGGGACATTCTTTTCAAGTTGCTCCTGAGAATATTTACGATTTATACTAAGCAAAATAATGAATAAGTGGAAATACTGGAAATATTGTAAAAAGTAATATTTATTCTAAAGTAATATTTGGAAATATTAGTTGTCAAATATATTGATTTAGACAGTATTTGCTGAAATAAATTAATAATTGAAGGCTCTTAATGAGGTAAAAGTAATGATTCTGAAATATGGACTGAATATTAAGAAGTAAGTAGTTACTTTGATGAACCAGTAAATCCAGTGTGAAAATTAAATATAAATAACATCTCCTAAATATAACTTCGTGACTTTTTGTAGTAGGTACATAGTCCAATGTTGTTGAGTAACTACTTAAGCACAGAGTGATATGTGAAAGTCTATTGAATTTTGATAAATTTCTTCTAAGTCAAGAATAATAGTTTCTCTGACCACTTCCTACTATCCACCCCCCCCCCGCCCATTTTCCTCATGGAAAGCTGTCCTGCTGTGCCATTTGTGTTGATGTAATGAGGATGCTTTACTTACAGAGATGGGACAGGCCGTTTAATCCTCACAGCCATCACCTCATTGTCACTGTCTTCCTGCTCGAGCTTGTCCTCTGCTTCCCCATAGCCACTGTCCTGGGCATCCAGGCTGTCATCATGGCACTTAAGCAGCAGCTCTCCCTTGGCCCCATTTTTGTCCTCTTCTTCCATCTTCTCCCAGCCCTTGGTCAGCTCTGATACCACATTTGAACACTTCCTCCTTTCGGCTGAAGGTAATTTGCTACTAAGAAGTTTGTCAATGGCACTTGATTCTTCTTTGAGTTTGGTCATCTCGGAGCTGCTGTTGTTGTTCTCGTATCTTTCACTGAGCAGGCTGACATCACCCCCTCGTTCATAGGCTTTGCTGACGACTGTTTTGGTCACCTCTTTGCTTTTAATGCTGAACATTTGGAGGTCTTCATCCGATTCCCTTGATTTTTTTTCAGCGTCTCTTATTGTCACCGATCCCTTTGCTAAGGATTTTTCACCATTTTTTTCTTGGTCCCTCTTGATGGATGGAATTTGCCATTTTTCAAGGGAACTTTCTTGTACCGGCTGAGCTGATGAGCTTTCTGCATTGGGGACCCATCCAGAGGGCTCTTGCTCTTGCTTTACATGGTGGTCAGATGCCCACTGCTGCCAGCCTCGTGCCAAGCTGAAGACCTGGCTGGCCATTCGGATCTTGTGGACAGCCCTTTTCACAGGAGCAGTGCTCGGCTTTTCTTCAGGAGCCATGTCTGCTGCCATCCTGGCTTCTCCTCTTCTTATGCTCAGCACCTTCTGAATGGACTTCCTGAAGTGAATGATGCCCTCTGAAGAGGGGCACACAGATTTAAATAGAAGCAGGAGCAGTTGATGCCCATGGAAAATATGTGAAATGCTTCTCACAAAGATAAAGTATCCTCACTGTTGCAGAGGTCTTTTTTTAAAACGCGGGGTTACATTTCATCACAGCAGATGAATGATGCATGATGTGAACAGTGTGACACAGACCTGTGCTGGAAATAGTGGGACAGTAACAGCTCCTTTCGTCTCCTCTCCCTGGGATTGCTGAATTCCCAGTTTGCTGGCAAGGGTCTTGTTCTTTTGGAAATGCAGCGCTTCAGTTAGAGATCCTGATCAGAGTGACTGAAAATGCTAAATGTGAAGGGCTGTGTCAGTGGCTAGGAACTTTGGCCAGAGTGGACACTCCTTATCATCACAAGAAAATAGTGGCCCTTGTCGTGGAGTGTGAAGCCAGATGACAAGTTATGACTGAGACATTTTTAGAGGTATTTCCTAAAAAGATACTGGGTGTCTTTTTCTTATTGCTCATGTGTCCAAGGAAATCGAGGTTTGTTAATTTTTTACAAGGTATTTTATGTGTTCTCTTCCCAATCATTATCTATTAATGTCTCTCTTTTTAGAATGTACCTTCAGGGGGGCCTGGGAACACTATCATGTTTGGTGTCAGCACTAAAGAAGAGGCAATCACTATGTCTGGGGATCAGTATAGTAAGTCTGACTTGATCAGATGGATGAATGATCTACAAGTTTTAGGGTTTTGAGAAAATAAAATACAACTTATTTAATTTCTCACTGCTTTTTAATAGAATTATATACAACATAATTATGTTTACTGTGTACAATATAGAAAAAAATCTGTTTTTCTAGGAAACCTTGTGATTTTTTCACTCCAGAGGACTTCCTAGAGTGCATTCATATTCAAATTTGTGAAATTGTTTAGTGAATTGATACATTCATTGTTGCATGGTAATAAACATTTTTCTGAGAGACAGTCCTTGTCATCTCTTATTTCTTAGAATAATGTTTCCTAAATAGGAACGGAAAATGTCATTGCTTTTTCAATCCATCATACCTTGCGGATTACAGGATGACCCATGCCACTTGCCACGTGGTGCTCTGAGGCACACTGAACTTCAAGGAATTCTGTTGGCTTTGTTGGTGTTACATCAGAGATAAATATGGGCTCTCATACTCTGCCTTTTTTTTATCTTCTCTCTCTTAAAGGCTGGGCTGTTGGAAGTAGGTCAGATCATATTTAGCTCTTGATTAATGCTTTAAGACTACATACCTTTGACTTCCATGTAGAATTCCTCATTAATCTGTGGAGTAATTTCCTCTTTAAAACTGATGACATAAATCAAGTTAGTGTTGCTATTACATATTTACTCATGCTTTTATTTTGGAAAGAAATGTGTCACCTCTATGCACTGTACAGTCTCAGCTATTGCCCACTGCGTCATAGCTGTGAGATGACATTGTGAGATTTACCCATACAACTTGATTAAGGAACATGTGTCACCAAACATTTATTTTGGGGTCATTTTAAGGCTAATCAGGAATGGGAACTTCTGGTGCATAGAATTCACACATGCCTATGCATCCATGCAGGGGAGTGTATGCTCCCTAAAATACAAGGAAGAGGCAAGTAAAAGAAAATAATGTACATGCAGAATAAAGTATTACACCAGTTCATTACGTCATTCTGTGTGGTTTCTGGAAGGTGGCTGAGGGTTTTAGAATGAGCTGAAAGCTAAATACAGATAAGGGGTAAGGCCAAGGATGGACTGCAGTGAAACAAGTGACTGTGGAAGGGCAATCCTGGAGCTTAAAGCTAATAGAAACCCCTATTATAAGGCAGGGTCAGCTCCACCTCCACGTGTCCTGGATTCTGTTTTACCTGCTCTTAAAGACTAGTAGATGTTCCCACTGTCTAGGCAATCTATTCCACTGGTTAACTGGCTGTATTTTGCAATCAAAGACCTCTTCTCAGTTTATTACTGCATATACTCTTGAAGTTCTTGAACACTTTTGCTCTCGTACAACATTTGCAAATAGTTCTATTAAAATTCATGGTACTGAAAAATAATTGCATTCCTGAGGAACATTTAGAAATTACAGCACATCTCAAAGAAGTTGTTAATAAAGAGACTTCTTTTTTTTCCTAACAGACCTGACCTTGGTATACTGGTCATAGTCCTACAGACTTAATGCTTACATAGCTTAGATAAATGACAATGAAAGGGTACAGACTAATGAAAAAACAAGATTACATATCTAAACTACTATTAAATCCATATTGCACAACAATATGTTAAACAAATGTTTAGTTAAAATCTATCACTATTATATTAAGCTGAAGTGTTATCACAGATGTGTCCAAAGTGCCAGTGATACTTTGATATAATTATTCTGAGGATAAGTATCTTTATAATGCTTAATTTTAGGATGTACAGTGATGTTGCCTTGAATGTGTTGAATGTTGTCTCATTTTATATGGTGGTGCTGCCAGCAAGAAGTTAATTATAAATTATGTCCAAATCATCCAGTGATATTCATACTTTGTGTGTTGTTTACTTTGCAAATGTTTTATTGCAGTAAGACTAGAATTTATTACTTTATGATTTTAAATTTTTTATTCTTAATGAGATAATCAGCCAAGGTTACATTTCTGCTTGTAATTTCCCTACTGTGACTTCCACAAGCCAATAGCCAGCCCTAAAGGCACAGTTATGTTTTAGGTAGGCTGGACCTGAACTGTATTTTCTATGTGTCTTCCATATATCACAAGGTCAAAAAATATCTCTAAATGCTCAGCAAGGCTAGGTGAGGGTGACTGTCACAGGCTTTCACAAGTTCAGAAACTATCCTTAAGGCCAGAGTGGAGGGACCATTTCTTGCAGAAGATCTACAGGAGAAAATGTAATTGGAGAAAGTATTAACTTTGATGAGCAAGCTTGACACATGCTGAAGTTGTAAACTCCCTTTGTCCTTGACCCTGACTGCCTACAGTTCTGGGATTTAATCTCTTTGACACCTTTAGACGAGTCTGCACATGTCCCTAAGACCTTGTTGCTGCTTGTGGATTGCTGCATTTCACATGATACCTCTGACTTCCTAAATCCAAAGTTGAGAAGGACCAGCTGAGAGGTTGCCAGTGTCAGAGGTAAAAGTTGGGATGTTTTTGCTGTGTGATGATTTGGTTTTGTTTTCCCCGTGCATGGATTTTTCTCTGTATAAACTATTTTAAAATCCTTTAATTTTCTCTTTGCTGTTGAACACTAGCAGTCTCTGGGAGACCAGTATGCCATCATTTTTTTTTTTTAATTTTGTTTAAGGATAATAAACTTTAAAGGTAGAATTGATCCTTCATACATTATTTTACCTCGGCAGACATTCAATGTTTTTGATTCCAAGGAATTTAATTTTGTAAGGAAGGAATTTACCAATTGTAAGTGTATGAAAGATGCTGTCTTCCTCCCCAGAGTTAGTGGTGAATAATGAGAACAAGATGTGTTTTTTTCTTAAGTATAACCAGATGCCATTATCAGGAATCTCAGGAATTCTTTTCACCATGACAAGTGTCGTAACATCAGACATTGCCAGTTATCACAGGAAACCTGTAAAAAGAGTTAGAGTTTGGGATTTCCTTATTTTGAGAGTTCACGTCAAACAAATTCCTTCTAACAACAGCAGTGAGCAGCTGTGTCTCATTCAGTGTGCAGTTTCATAGACAATCCATGTCCATGACATGGACAAGACTGAACTCCAAGAAATGGATGCTCCTGAGTCTTTGAACTGAGTTGTGTCCAGCCATTAACTGAAAGCAGTTTATGCATTTATTCATGCAGTTTCTTACACTTGTATCCTATATCTGGCCACAGCCTCTTTTGTTTGGCTGAAATTATGTTGTACTGAAAAACTATCCCTGTGCAATTACACTGAATTTTGAGTCTGCATTTGGTTATATGTCGTCAGGATTCACCTATATGAGAGATCAGGGCTTATCCATGACCTATCATGGCAGCCCTGCTTTGTGAAGAAAATAAATCCAGCAAACTGTCAAGAAAACCCTAGTCAGAACCAAGGCTGAAAGACTCTTAGTTGTAGAAGGGTAATGGGGCAGAGGGAAGATGCACTATCCAGTAGCAGCAGCTGCAGTGAGTGAGTTGTGGAGTGCAGCCCCAAAGCTCCTCTCCCTCCAGGTGAGATAGATTTAAATGCAAGCCACCCAAGTAATAGAAAACAGCCCTGCAGATTCTCAACTGGCTGAGGATGAGAATTCAGCATAATTTTTCACTGCAGTCTGGTAGAGAGATTTGGCTGGTAAAGCTTGGATTTATCACTTATCACTGGTAGCCTTGCACCCTCACCCTTTTTGCAAGTCCTGGCTCCATTTATCACAAAGCAGTCTGCCTCTCCTCCCGATTTTTGCAAGCAGAGTAAATGTCAGGCATTCCTCATTGTCTTGGTTTTTTGATGAACTATTCCTTACTTTTCAATTCCCTGTCTCAACAGAAACCCAATTCAGCATGAGTTTACATGTATCCATATATCTTCAAGTTCCTACCCAAGCCCTGCTACTCAAGTGACAAAACTGTTCACTGTCTTGAATATTTTATTCCTCTAAAGTTGTCTTCACATTTCAAAGATGAAAACTAAGACTGGGATGTGGAGCCTTAAAGCACTTTGGCACCCTTTTCCTACTTTTGCATATAGTGCCCACAGCCTTTTTTTGGAATCAGATGCCTGCAAGAAATCCGTACAAGTTTAATCGAATTTATACAGGAAATGAAAGCAGAGGTAAGACCACATGCTTTTAGTCCCGTTTTACCTTTGAGCATAAATACATCTCTTATTTGAATATCTATAGTAAATGAACAGAAACAAGTAACAAGTAGTGATGAAGCAATTTTGTTTAAAAGTATAAGCAAACGCATTAAATCATTTGCATCAGTCATTTAGTTCTATT